CAAATTCAACAAAATGATTCAGAGAGTATGTATGTATGTTCATGAGTTGTCACATATACTCTACAGATAATCTGTTAAACATTGAAAGAGAGCAGAATAGCACTGAAGTTTTATTAACATAATAAAGAATAATTGTTTTAAAGGTGCAATGTAATGGCTAGTTTTGTTCTCCAAACCACTAAAGGGCAAGGGCACTTGCCAAGAGCTTCGGCCATCTTTGTGTTTACTGGGCCGCTAGCCGTGGGTTGTAGATTCAACGTGATTGAGCACCTTTTTTTACGTTTTTGGTCGAAAGCAGCCCAAAAGATTTCTCTGGAAAGCACACGTCTTCGTCCTCCCACTGCGGTTTCCTGTTGACTCACGCTCTCATTAATACAATGTTGATGTAGAGAGTAATGAGCCTGTGTGGAGGCACGGCTCATGTCTAGGAAACAGATGGAAGTTTTGTTGTTGAGCTCAAGCAGTTTAGACTCTGTTACCACACACACACACACACAGCTAGAATCACTTTTATTGCTTTGTTATGTTAACGGTCAGTGATTTAAGGCTGGAGATGATGTCATCCTCCTCATCATGGTTAATAAACTGTTCCTGTGCTCATGTTGGTGCTATTAATAATGGTGTGCGACCGAGGTCACGGTGCTGTAATCATGTCCAACATGAGTCTCTCTGCCGTCCTCCCAGCTGTTCCTCAGTCCCGCTCCTCTTCTTTAATGAGCCTGTTTGTTGCATTGATCTAAAGCCCAGCCAGTTGCTTTGTTTTGCTTTCAATTACTTTTTTTGGAAGCGATAATTTGGCAATGGACTCGTGCTCATGTTTGTCGTAGGTTTTTAGGTCTCAGAGTCATGTGTTTCCCAGCAGCGGCAGTAACTTTTGGTTTGTTTGGACTAACTAGAAGAAACAACTCGTAAAACTGTAGTTTGCATTAGAAGCGAATAAGCCCTTTGGCTGAGCCGACACAGCAAAGACTTCCAGCTGCAGAAAAACAGTTTTAATTTGTTATTATTTGACCGCCTAACTTTCATTGTTTGGCATTGATATTTTATGTTTGGGCCCACCTTTCACGAGCATTCTAACACTGTGTTGTTGGCATCTGGTGTCACTTCAGTCTTCAGACCGGATCGCTCCTGTTCAATGGAGTAGTTGCATATGTTAAAGCTCAAGTAGCCTCCTTCTTCTTCTTCTTCTTCTTCTCCCCTGAAATAAAACTCAAGTCGGTCCAATGAATCGTGGGGCTGAAATGGTCCCTGTGGTTAACACGACTCAGGCCAAACCGCAGGCACTTTAGGGCTTTTTTTATATATTTTTTATTTGAAAACTGAAATATCTCAGCTTTCTAAATGTCCCTCTATTACTTTACTCTGCCCACATATACAAACCAGTGTTTATAAATCACAGTGAGGAGGATAAATATAATTCTACTGTATTTCATTGTGCATTGGGCTGTAGTAAACCCAATTCTACTGAGGTGGATAGAGTTTGGAGTGTGGTTTTTATTTAAAAAAAAGAAAATTCTTAAAAGCATATGACCATAATTGTAAGGAAAGGATTCAATGGTGTGTTTATGTGCTCTAAGATGCGTTCGCTAGCCTGCCCTGCTAACTAGCTCGCTGCGTAGCCTGTAGTTGTAGCCAGTTCTCAATATTCAAGGCCAAGGAGCACCTTATGAACTAACTAGGTTAAATTAGTTTAGTTTAGTTTAGTTTAGTCCCCTTAACAATAACACCCCTCAGTGGTAAAAACCAAGCCTGGAAGCTAACCGAGTTAGCGACAGTGTCCTGTTCTTTGCGTTGACACTCCAGCAACATTAGTCGGGATAACGCTGCGTTGGCCGAACACATAGCAGTCACATACAGCGAAACAACAGGCACAGTGGAGCGTTAAGGCCCGGTCGACAATACGGCAGTCAAAACAGGACTAGTCTCATACGGGCGGGAAAAGTACGCAAGATACGCTAAGCTACGCTACCGCGCTCTGAATATCTGTCTGGCTGCAAAGCTTAGCAACGCGTCTTGGCAAACTATGAAGTATTTGCATCATACACTCTGGGACAATATTTTATCTGTCACTTGCTGCTGAAAGTACAGATTACAATGAATTTATATTTTAATATATAGCGTAACACAAACTGAGCTTTAGTGTCACGTTTGAAGGCTCCAAACGGTTGTTCCAGGTGTTAGTTAACAGAACGTTTTCCCGCCATACCTCCCCTATGCCTACACTGTTAGCCCGAACTAGTTGACTTTACTAGAAAACCGCGTGGAAACCCGTTGCCTCAAACCATTTAAGTTTTTACAAATGGAGGAACTAAACAGATCAAGTTGTGTTAACATAGAACCTTAATGAATGCAGTAGACAAATTTAAGTCCACATTAGTAATCTTTACTAAAAATCATTAGTTCACTTGAATTATTTCTTTTCTTTAGTCTAAGTTTAATGAAATAACTATTTTAAGTTCAACATACATAAGCATATATAAACAAATCACTAATATAACATTATTTATTGCTACTTAAGACCATTAGTTTATTTAAGTAATGTCTTTACTTTTAATTAAATTAATTATACTATTTGATTTTGAGATTTAATGTATTGTTTCAAGAAAATTGTACAGAAGGAAAGAAATTAAACAATACATTTTAATGTTCCAATGTGTTTTAATTTTTCAAAGCATTGCATTGTAACTGTTAAAACTGAAAGAAATTCCAACTTGTCAAGAGAAGAAATGCAGCATTACACAGTAACTGTGCCTTGTGAATGACTATTCACATGCAGACATTACAACTTGACTGGATAAGGACAGAGGAACTGGGTTAAACATATCGAAACAACTGAACACCAATATGCAGTCCTGAGCATACACTGTAAAACACAAGTGGTGGAACATTCCTACTCCTCATTCAACAAACTTATAACATAATTCAAAATATGTATCTTAGTAGTGAAACATTTCCTGAGAGTCTTTGGTGACAAAGGGGGATTAAAACCATGTGAGGCTTGGTTTGGAGGGGCTAGCAGACCCCACAGTTGAGGTGTCTCTGCATATAAGACCTAAACAGAAAGCAAACTCTGCAATGAATAGTATCAAAAACAGGATTTTAAAACATTGCATGTATCACATGTATGACACATACATGTTTAGGCTTGTTCAGTAGGGATGCTGACTGTGGCACGCCTCCTGGAGCTTCCACTGTCTGCTGCCAGGTTGAACCACCTCATTGCTGTTTCACACATCATCTGTGGCGGCACGTGAGACATGATTCTTTCGACGGCATCTGTAATCACAAGCAGATCATACAAAATCCCATGAACCCTCAGTGCAACATATAGCAGACATGCAGTCTAAAAGCTAGTGGCTGTCTGGCATGTAAAGGTTTGCTATGCTATATTCAGAGCTAATATATCATATAACTATTATGTAAAGATATAGTCGAGTAATATCTACCTGAGCAGAGAATGAAGTTGAAGTTGCAAAGAGAATTTGTAAGTTTGAACACGACCTAAGACCTCTGGGTGACTTCAAATTGTTTTCATTAAATATTACAGTTACTTACACAGGAGCAAAGTCTTCGACTCCATCTGGCTGAAGGACTTTTTCCCATTTATCCCTTTCCAGTTTATTCTCTTCCCAACATCATCGTTGAACATGCAGGCAAGATGTTCCATGTAACCCGTTTTGTATCATGTCCTCTGATGGTTGCCAGGGAGGAAATCTAAAATGGATCAAAAAAGTACTGTTAACACTTTACAGAATGTTTTTTCTACAATTTCACTCTTAGTTTTTTCTACAATTTCACCAAACAAAGGCTGGCCTCGAGGTAGATCAGTTGCTCTCTCAAGTTTGTCTGAGTTCAGGAGGAAAGGTGAACCTCCCACCCCATTGTATGGTATGCCCCCTGTTGCCTGGGTCCTAATGGGAGGCTGCCTGTTACCTGCCTGCAGTATTTGAACGGGGGAAAAAGGCGCGTTTGATGTGCGGATACCCCGGTGTCTGCAGCGAGTCCGCTGTTTGACGGTGCGCGATCCGGGGGCGACCTGAGTCGACTTATGAACTCACAATATGTACACTTCCATTGCATCTTCACAAGAACCTGTGAAAACAAGAAGAAAACTATTGGCTCAACTTTCAGTTCAACAACCCAGTTCCAGTAACATTAACTCCACTGCAAAACGTTACCCAGCCTCTGCTAATAACCAACTAATGACCTCGTGCCTTGAGAAGCTAGCTAAGTTACTGCTATAAATGCAATAAATAACTCCTGCGCAACCTAACCAAACACCATTATGAAAAGCTAACGTAACGTATCGTCAGCTAGCTTAAAACACAGCACATGCAAACAAGTGTTAAAGTTATAAACTGAACCCACAGAAAATCGTTAGCGTTTAGCTTACTTGTTGAAATAAATGCTCCCAGAATGATATCTAACGTTACAGTCAATATGGTGAGAGTACACACTCACCATTCCACTTGGTTCAAAGTTGTTGCAGAAATCCCGCAGCTCCGTCAAAGCCAGGATAGGTTTCGCGGTTGGACGCAGGACGAGCAGACTCCTCTGGGCTCGTCACTGCGCTGCACACGGCACTAATGCTTAATCGAGTGAAATTCAAACGGGCCCCTCCCCCCCCCCCTTACAGAAACGTAACCTGCCAAGTTATCTCTGCTAAACATGATCATTGCACTCAATATTTCAGTTGATTAGTGCAAACTACTAAATAGATTTTGTAATGACACAGTTGTTTTACAAAACACGCAAGTATAAGTAATGACTGCTCAAAAGTTTAATTTGAAATAAATTCGGGTTTACAGTGTATCGCTAATCCAGCACCCCCCACCACTTGTAACTACAACTAGGCAGAGAAAATAGTCAATCACGACTGTGGTGTGGATGAATGTGCTGTACTCTTTCACTGCTTCTAACTCTCTGCTCTACATGTAATGTCATGGTGCTATAAGTAGTGTTGATGTCAGTCTCTCTCTCTCTCTCTTTGTTTTCTCCAGGTCAGCCTACCAAATGACTCCAGCTGCGTTGAGGAGATTTTGCGGGTATGTTGGTCGGGCACACACACACACACACACACACACACACACACACACACACACACAC